AAAAATATAAATCAAGTTAATGCCTTGTTAAATAAAATAGGTGCTACCCTCCACTCAATATGTATATAATGACCTGGAAGAGCCTGACTTCTCAGACTCTTGGAGTTCCAGGCAGGAACATAACGGTTTGGTAGAGCTGGTCCTTGTCCATCGCCCCTGCTCTCCGAATATACAGCAAGAGGTATATGAGAGATAATGAGTGTGCATGTGGACACCCCAGCCTGTCTGTCCTGGATCAGTCCTCACCCCTCCCTTGGGTCTTGGGTCAAAGCGTGTTCGTACTGGTGGTATGGCCACCCGTGGCCCACAGATGGAGAGGGAAGGCTAGCCAGTCCTAGGAAGTGTGTGTGGGGCCTGTGGGGAAGTAATTCTGGGTCCTGGGGACTTGGAGTGAGGTCTAGAAGTGAAGAGTGGACTCTAGTGGGCAGGTGGCCTTGCAGATTTAGACTGTGTATTGAGGGCACAATGAGAAGGGGACCAGAGTGAGGTCTTTTAAAGTAATGGATTACTGAGCAGTTCAAAGAATGACTTGCTCACTTGGGGTTATAGAACCTTTTTTTCGGCAGTGAGGGGACCCCATCTGGTCCAGGTACTTTGCCAAGGGATAAGACTTCAGCAGATAGGTGGGTGCTCTGCAAATGCTGTCACCAGAACCGCCACTGGGATTTCCTGCTACTTTATTCACTGTATTACTTCTCACACTGCAGAGCGGACTTCAAGGTCCTTCTCTGGAATGTCACATCAGCTACAGATAATTCTGACAACACGTGTTGACATATGGCAACTCAAAGCTACTCTGAAATGGAGTTTGGGATAATAAAACTCAAAATATAAATGAAATTTACTAGCATTGATGACTATGTGAATTGACACTGGGCCATTACATGTGGCTGCACAGGTTGTGCACTGCACAATTTCAAGCAGTGCCTTTTACATAGACTACAGTCTGGACGGTCCCCCCTAGAGTTGTACAAAGCATGGACTGCACAGTAGTAGGCAGCATCCCTGAATTGAAGGGCACAACCATCTACTTAATTTTTCTCCTGCTAATATAGATGTACTTCTAGTTGAGCTGTGTTAAAATTCTAATTTGAAGATTAGGGCTACTTTTATTTGTTTGTTCATTTAGACTAACCTTAATTATTCACTAAGGAATACATGAGCAGAAAATTGGCTCAGGCTTCACTTTATTTTAAATAATATTTTTCTGCTAAAGGTTCGGAAGTGAAATGAGAAATGAGTAACCTTTATGGTGTACAAGTTTTATTTTTTCACATGGTAAGTGAAGACTAAAAGCACAGGAAGTAGGCATGGAAATTCATTTTGTCATCACTTAAATGTTATATCAAAGTTTAATTTTATTTTCAAGTAGGTTTTCCTGTAGACACCCAGTTAGTTCTAAATGGAGACTAAGTAGGAAATATTTTTGTCGCCAGTTCTTGTTGATGGTGACTTGTAAAAATATTTTAAAATGTTGTTGCAAATTCTCATGGGAATATTTTACAACAGAATATTCTGATCATCTTGGTGAATACAGTCATCCAAAAAAATTAAGTGGGTATACTTTTTGCATTTGTCAGACATATTAATTTATAATCTCTTATACATAAACAATGTCAATAGAGAACGTACACTTACTTTTCTGTGTTGTGTTAGGGCAAAAAAGAAAAAAAAAAGGCTTATTCAGCCTTGGCAACCTCCCTGAAGACCAAGTAGAGAACAAAATTGTGCTTTAGATATTGTTATACAGACTGGTTAATAATGTGGTCATGAATGCAAATGGACCTGCCAAAACATCGTTTGAAAGAAACTCCCAGATCATCAGAGAATAATAAAAGTCATACAGAAATGATCTGTCTCTGGGCTACAAATACCAACATTGCAATTAAAAAGGCCAACTGTATAATAGGAACAGTAAAAAAATACCAAACAAACAAACAAAAAGAAATGGTCATCGTTCATTGATTGCTGAAGTTTTTCCAGCTAAAGTGATTTGTTTATTTCTTTTATTATTTTATTTTTTAGAGGGGTGGAGGTTGTGAGACTAGGGAGGGGAACAGAACTAACATGAAGCAAACTGAGAATTTCAGGTTTTATTTACCTGTCCTATAAAACAATCTACTCAGTTATTAAAAACTTTAATACACATGTAGCTCATTTTAGTGGGTATAAGTTAGTATTTTTTAAAAACCTGAATGCATACTTAACAAATCTTTGCTTTGTTTTGCTTTTTAGGTGCAGACCCAAATTATCCTGAGGTCATTTATGAAGGTAGCTATCATGTTGTCTTTATTTTGTATTTTTTTTCAAAATGTTTGTCTTACATGAAATAAATCAACTAAAAGAACACTTGTAAGCTCAGTTAAATATACACTTCAAGCATTACATAGGCCAAAATAATATTTCAAAAATCATTCAATATTGATGGCCATTTTCCCTTGATATTTATAGTGCCTGTAAATAGCATTTTCTCTCTCATGCTCGGTTCTTGGAAGTAGTAAATCCATTCTGCTCTAATAGACAATTTGTTTCCATAATTGGGAACTAATTACCTGTTTAAAAGCCATGGCTACCAAGAAAAGGGAGGTGTATCAGTTTCTAGTTATCAAAGTAAACCAAATTGAAAATTATGTTTCTTATATAATAAGGAACTTTGGCTCACAGACAGGAACCTCAAAGGGCATGTTTTAGAGTGGGTTAAACCATCAGCTCATCCGTCCATGGCATCAGGGGCCCAAAGCTTTTTTCATCCCTACCTTGCCTTGCCCATTGTGCTGGCTTCTCTGAAGGCTAGCTTCTCTTATGGATATTAGATGAGGCCATCAGAGGGGGCTATTGCTGTTCATATTGATGGGGGAAAGGGAGAACCTTCTGAAAGGGTTCCAGAAGAAAGAGAACTTTCCTAGCACCCTCCACATAGCCCTCCTGGTATCTGATCCAAGACCCAGTAGGGTCATGACCCATTCTTGCCTCCATGATTAGTGGATGGATTAACACCTGACTAACTAGAATGTCCCCTGGAGGTTAGATCAGCTTCCTTGGAGGATGTACTCGAACCCCTTGAATAACATGGGGTTCTCTTAGGAATGTAGAAGGGGAAAACCCAAAAGCCACTATGTTAACTTTTAAATGAATAGCTCATCTATACTTTGCTATTTTAATTGAATGCCAGGTTTGTTTTGGTAGGTGTGAAAATCTTGAACAGATTTGCAAACCACTTTCATGACCAGGAGGCCTCTGTCTGGGGAAGTGGCAGGCTAAATTTCAAGACTTGGCTTAAAATCTAAGATTCATTAAAAGTCAGATGGATTACAAATGTTGTATTTATACATTTATTTTATACGGATTTCTATTTTTTAATTTTATATATTTATATACACATTGACAATTGATTTGTCTATAACATGATTCTGTGTTTATGTGTTTATTATATGTGTGTATTTAACTTGAGCTAATTTTAACTGGGAAATTATATTGTCTTTACCTGCTTTATATATGTTAAGCTATATTTCCTTCAAGCTGTGGTTTGGATGATTTTGTGATTGTGATTTATATATTTTTGTTTTTATTTCTCTTGATATGGTTTAAAGGAAGAGTATCTTAAATTGTATTACAGAGAAATATGTTTGAATTGTGATTTTGCATTTTAAAATTATGTTTTGGACTCCTTTGCAAGTAACTTCAAGACTTAAGGTCATCTTTCCTTTGACCTCAGATTCCACTTTGGGTCTTTGGGTCAAAGTGTTATGATATTAAACTATAGATACCTTAATGATTTAATTTTGCATGAGTGGCTAGATATGATATGAAAAGGGAAAAATAAGCAAGTAAATGGTATGTCTTAGTGTTTGATTGAAATTGTTTTAATATATTCAAAATGGAAATTGTGAGAATGTAGTTCTGGAGTTAATAAAACAGCAAACAGATAGAAAATGGACGCTTTTCCTGTTACTTTTCATTCATATTCAAAGGAACACTCTGCTAATAAAAATATAATTTAAATTGGTTACCCCAGGGCTAGCATGATAATTCTACTGAGGGAAGTTTAGCTGGGGCTGACTTAATGAGGTTGTTTGTTCAGGATGCAAATTGAAGGTGCCATATCTATTTAGAATAAAAATACAAAACATTTTATATACAACATTGTCTGCAATAAGCTTGACATGTTTTCTATGACTTTTATATGTAATTACTAATAGAAACTTTTCCCACAAAAATTCAGTCATTCATTTTCATCCTGACCCATATAGACTAAAATTGATTCAGAAGATGGCAGTTACATCTGAGACATGGTGATATGAGGAACATATCCTCACAATTCTAAATATTGTATTGGCACAATTCCCTGCATGTTAATGCTGCAACTGAAATATTGGTGATTCAGAACTCTCCAAAAAAATTTATATGTGGACCCAAGTTCCCTATCAATTGCTGATTCCACATTCCATCTTGAAGGGCTGCCTCTTATCCAAATAAGATGCATCTGCCCTGGGATCAGTGTTGCTAATTTCCAGTCTGGTTCATTCTTAGGCTCTGCCACCTTCTTGCTACAGTTGACCTTAGACTAGTCAATCAGCTCTCCTCTGCTGACGTTCTTCTTTTGTAAAACTGGTGGTTAGACTTGATCTCTGAAGACCCTTCCAGGTCTATAAACCTGTGACTCTTAGATGATGGGTTCTCTTTCGTATTTATATTAAATACTTCATTTAAAAAGGGATATATTCTTAAGTGCAAAGAAAAACCGTAAACCTGATTTAGAATTTGACCAACAAAACAATGATGGAAAGATCTGGGCTGAGTACAATTTTAGCATTGTGCAGTCCCAATGCTACAATGGATTCAACCCAACAGCTGGGTCCTGTTCCTCCCCAGGCAGGCTGTCAGTGGTTTGGAATCTTGTGATTTGTCTGGCTTTGTTCTGGGTTGTCCTGTGGCCTCGAGTTTGTTGGCAGCCTCATGACAACTTCATGGTTCCTTCTCTTTCTCCTGTCTCCCACTTTAGATTATGGGACTACAGCAAGTGACATTGATGACACCACGAACAGGAGTAACGAAATCCCTTCCACAGATGTTGCTGATAAAACTGGGCGGGAACATCTCTCGGTGAGTGGGATAAAGAGTTGTTTCCTAGGTTGGTTCTGAGCATTTTCGATGCTTACCTGTTGGAGGAAATGGAGCTGCTTCAGCACAAATCTTTCAACAAGACATTTCTGTTGTTCAGGTGTTCAGGATGCAAATTGGTCATTGAAGTTTGGAGGAATTAAAAGAAAGGTTTAAGAGAGTTGATAAAGGTAGCTATATAGACTCTGACTTATTGCTAGTGGTTCCTGTTTTAAATACCTGTCCCTTTAAAGGTTATTTGCTAGAAGAGCAAGAAGCCAGCTTTCTCGTTCAGGTGCATGTATAATTATTCCTGTATTACACATCTTCATACTTGTTTCCTTAAATATTCTAATAAAAATTTCATTGCCCACCAAATGTAAAGGTATAATGCAGAAGAATATAAAAAGTATGAATGAAACTCAGGTCCATTTTTTTTGGAGCTTATAGTTCAGTCAGAGGCCTGAGATGTGAATACTAGCACCTAAACCACAAATAGAGGCAGAGTAATAGAGGGGCAGGTGTTCTGTTCCTGCTGGGAGAACCAGAGGAGTCTTTGTGGTACAGGTGGCATTTTCCATGGTCTGTGCAGGATGCCTGGGACAGAAGGGAAGGCATTTTGGGTGTGTGAACAAGAGCTTGCAAACGGTCTTCACTGGAAGTTAAAGTATGTGAAGGGTGGCAGTTGGAGGCAAGGTTGGAGAAGTTGGTTGTGCCAGGTTTTGAAACACAGTGCCAGGTGGTTAGATTTACTGCGCAGTGAGGAGACTTTGAAAGGGGCCTGTGAGAGCCCCAGGGTCACATGGCTCCAGGGTTCTGCAGCAGGGTAGGCTGTCAGCAGCTCAGGTAAAAACCCAGCAGGCTTTCTCCATTTTTTCCTTTCTTCACTTGTTGCACATGCCCAGTTGCATGTCCTGTGAGCTCTGCCTCTTTATAAATTCCAAACCTATCCATATCTTTCCACCTCCACTGCCACAGTCGAAGGCTAACCCAGGAATTGGCAAACTGCCCGTGGGCCAAGTCTAGCTCATAACCTGTTTATGTGAAGTCTGCAGGCTAAGAGTAGTTTTTTGTTTTGTTTTGTTTTGTTTTTTACATTTTTAAGTGGTTTGAAAAAATATATCAAAAGATTGATTTGTGACACATGAAAATTTTATGAAATTTTAATGTCAGCGTCTATAAGTAAAGTTTTATCAGAATGTACTCATGTCCATTTACATATGGTCCATGGCTACTTTTGTGCTACAATGGCAGGTGGAGTGGTTGCAGCAAAGATTGTATGGCCTGCAAAGCTGGGATTATTTACTTTCTGGCCTTTTACTGAGAGAGGTGGTCATAATTGTTCATTTCTGGATGACTGCCACAGCCTTCTCCTGTGTCCCCCTCTCCCACTCTTATTTTCTGGCCTTTCTCCACATAGCAGCACAAGTGACTCTTTAAAGCACAAATCAGATCACTCTTTTATTATCGTTCTGAGAGTCTTCCCAATACATTGCAAAAAAACTTTTATTATAAAAGCCTAACTCTTCATGGTGGCTAAAAAGGCCCTACATATCCTGTCTGTCTCTGTCTCTCTGACTTCATGTCCCATATCTCCTCACTGCTTCCCACCTATTTTTTTTTAATGCAGACTCCATACTTACTCTTTCCTCACAGCCTTAACATTTGCTGTTCCCTCTCTAAAGCATACTTTTCCGGAAGGTCATCACATGGCTTTAGCTAGGGTGGCCAGCAGGCAGCCGATTTTCTTTTCTTAAAACTATATTTTTATTCTGGATGTTTTTCAAACATGCACAACAGTAGAGAGAATAGTAAAATGAATCCCATTGTATCTTTCACCAACTTCAAATATTATCAGTATTTTGTCATTCATGTTTTTCTCTCTTTTCTTCTCCAGGTAGGTAGGTAGGTAGGTAGGTAGGTAGGTAGGTAGGTAGGTAGATAGATAGGTAGGTAGATAGATAGGTAGATGGGAAGAGATAGATAGAAATATACATATAGCTAATATATATTTCTACATGGATATAGTACATATATCTAAGCATGTATCTATTACATATATCTCTGTCTGTATATAATATCAATTAAATACCCATTTTTATAACTTTTAAGTTATGTAAAATTGGGATAATAATAAGACCTACATACTTCATCATAGGATTGTTGAGGATTAAGTGAATTGATGTATATAAAGTTCTTAGAAGAGCAAGTAGTAAGCATTCTATAAATATTAACTGTTATCATCATCATCATTGTCATCGTTGTCGTTGTCATCATCATCATCATCATCATCATCATCATCCTCATCCTCATCATCCTCACATCTAGATATAGGGAACTAATTAGCAAGGCCACAACTGCTTTTCCTTCCTTCTTCTAGGTCTATGCTGTGGTGGTAATTGCATCTGTAGTCGGGTTTTTCCTGCTGGTAATGCTGTTTCTGCTGAAGTTGGCAAGACACTCCAAGTTTGGCATGAAAGGTAAGAAGGGTTGTGTTTATTTTGCTTCTTATGTGGAATCATTTTTGACTTATGACTAATGCTAATTATCACTAAAGAAGGAAGTAGCTAGATTTACGATGACTAGGTTTTAAAGCTGAAAAATAGCAACAAGGATATGATACCACAAACTAAGACAGAGAAACTAATGTTGATTACTCAGCACTACTCACTTTCCAACAAGAAGAGTTGTTCCAGAAGACACAGAACTGGTTTCTTGAGTGCCTGAGGGATGAATAGTGATATAGGCATATAAAGCCTGAGTTTTCCTTTTGCTTCAGATAGGCAGGTGAGGCTCAGCAGTAGGCTAGTTATGCACACGTGTATTTTGTGCAGAAAGATCTTTTCTGCTGTTCATCTGACGTTTAGATCTTTTGTGGTATGCTTTTGGTATTGCGACTACTTTTTCAGATCCTCATCTTTTGAAATTCAAACAGCGCTGGGAAGCAAAATAACAGCCATTGGTGGTATATTGGAGCTCTGTTGAATGAGTGACTTTTTTTTTAAGTGGAAAAATTCTGAGGGCTTGATTAAAAATGAGGGACTACGATGTCCAAGAATAGGTCATTGGTCTCTTTTAGAGGATTGAAAATTGAGAATTAGTTTTTAGGGGGAAAACTTGTTTAAATATTCTTGATCTATAAGGAGCCAAGAGTTTCAGTTGTTAAGAGCATTTGCTCTGAAGTTTACCTATATATTGACTAACATGTTGTTGTTGAATTTTGTGTGGTCTCTTATAAATAGCCACTAGCTTGGGAAAGCTGTGAAGGTTTAGTGGTGTCTTAATTGTGTTGGAGAGGAAGTCTGGTGAGTTTTCTTGATCTGTATGTTTTATTACAACTACTATTAATGTTGCTTGTTTAGTTGGAAGGGGATGTTTAAGTAGCAGAAAGTTGCCTAGCATGCACTTAGGCTCTGGGGTGGATCAGATCCATTTCTGACATTAGTTGGTACCCGTGACCAAGGTTTGGAAACCCAAAGTGAATGGGGATGCATAGTGGTACAGTGGGGCTGAAAGCCCCCCAAGTCTCCTCCTGACTCCCCCTTGGCTTGCTGATCATTGACATTTCTTTTGGAGGAGGAAAGATCTCTCATTCTCTGCTTATAACTAAGTCTCGGGAGAGGAGCTATATTACAGTGATTTTAATTAATCCTACGGTGGTGGTTCGCAAACTGGACTTTGCATCAGAAACTCCTGGAGGGCTTATCAAAAGAGATTTCTGGGCCACCCTGAGAGTTTATGATTTAATAGGCCTGTGGTGGGTCTGAAAATGGGCATTTCTAACGGTGTTCAAGGGATGCTGGTGCTGCTATTGCCCGAGCAGTCTTGGGGAATCACTGTTCCACTGGGATAAACGGGATCCCAGGTCTCTTTCTGAAGGTGACAAGACATGGGAGAAGCATTGCAAACCAAACGCACGCATTGCTTCGCAGACCTTTCTGGCTCTCGATGTTCAGCTGGCAAGGAGGTCCAGGCCATGCTTCTGATCTCTGTATGTCAGGTACCTACCACGGCACTTTGCTTTCCTCATTTTGATCAGGTGCTTCCTTTCCTTAGAGGTAGTTGGAGTGAATGTTCCCAAGCATAGATTTTACTGGAGGAAGCCAGATCCTAGCACTATCACTTTCCTGACTTGAGAGTTTAGTTTGAGATCTTTCATCTCATGGGTCCTTCTGGGAGAGGATAGATATATCCAGGTCCTTCTGGGAGCTCAGCAAAATCTTTGGGAACCCTAGGGGCAATATCAGGAGCCCCTCCCCAGCCCAGCTTTTTGTTAGGAAAACGACTGACCGAATGATCTGTGAAAGCATAGTCTCTGTAGCTCAGTGATGGAGGAGAATTAAAGGCAGCCATTTTGTTTCAGAGAAGATTATATGTCATATACAGACTCTTGAAGTAAGGCTGAAACAGTATTTTATTTGGATAATTTGGGGTGATTACTGCTAAGGCACCTACATTCTCCACATGCAGCCTAAGGTTATATCCTTAATGAATTGTAAGAAAGATTTTGCTTAACCTTGTCAGGGAGCCAGTAAATGTCTTCCTTCAGGCAGTATGTTTCATTCCCTTATTTTTAAACATAAATTAAACAGTTTTCAAAAATTTGTTTCAGAGACACATATTCTTGTTTAGAATAGCTTATTTTTCTATTTTTAGCTACATGTCTATCTATGCCATGGTTTGAATAAAACAGGCCTGCGCTGAGGTTATTGTTTTACTAGTAAGATGTTTAGTTGATCATTTTGGGGCATCTAGAAGATGAGGCTCATGCAAGGAGTCAAATGAAACTGCATAAAAAGTAGCATTTAAAAATTAATGTAAGTTAGTGTACTTTAATTGCTATTGGGCTGGGATTACTGCTGAAAAAACATATGTCTGAAAAAGGGAAGAATGTGTAAAAACACCATTATACTTCCTGCAATAACTAGGAAATATGTCAGTTGTGATTTCTGAGTAACAAGGTATGAAATGTTCATAGCCTTGGCCAGAACCAGTGGCTTTGTTCCAGGTGAGAGGCCAATGCCTGATGTGCAAATGAGGTATTCCAAATGTAATTCTTGCCCTCGTAAGCACCTTTGGGGAGAGTCCACCCCCATTCGTATTTCCTGTCCTGGAAACAGATGGCTGCCAGCCCACCCATAGGCATTTACAACTTTTTGCCCATCCCCAGTGTTGCACACTTCAGTCTTAATTAAACGTTGACTGTTTCAGTGTGTGGTAGCAGCCTCAGTATTATAAACTACAATTTAATACTGTTGATTTGAAAGGCCCAGGGTAAAAGAAACTGGAAACCTCTTCAAATCACACTGTGGCTAAAGGCAGGACACTCCATATTTATGGACTGACCTGAGAACCCCAACTTGACTGACGGCATTGCTTCCACGGGAAGGTGATCTCTAAATTCCAAACTAGGGAGTTAAACCTAGATTTTAGAATGCAACCAGTGAGCTGTGGTGTGTTCTTTAGAGATGGGTCTATGTGACTATAAGCTGACAGTACTGATGGTATACAGAGCTGAAATCAATATAAGGGAGCCAGGAAGATGGAGGGGGCGTGTCACTCATCACACTGGTAAGAGTTGTGGGCATCAGCTTTGTGCTTCTTGCATGTTGTGGTGGAAGTCCACATAAGGTATTTTTTTTCCTAGGAAAATATACTTTGTTCTTTTAGAGTAAATATCTAAGTGACTCTAAGAGATCCCGTAGGAGGAAGTGGACTAGGAAGTCTTCCTCTTGTTCGGTGCTGACAGTCTGCATGTTTCCTCTGCAGCCTCCCATCCTTGCACATAAACCACCAATGTGCATTCATCCCTGTTGTTTGAGCTGTAGATCATTCCAGTTAGTAACTGGCCGAACAACCACATGGCCTGAGGATGTGGAGCCAGGTTTTCTTAGTCCAGATTCAAGGCCCACAGTTTAAGTTTCTCCTCTTATAAATGATCTTCTCAATGTCTTTCAACAGCAACCAAAAATTTGGTTATTTAAAAATAGTCATAAACATAACAGGGCCAAAGCTAAAGAGGTTGAAGGTTAAAGCCTTTTCTATGAGCTGAAAACAATTTTGGAAAGTTTAGGAGGTTGAGTTGAACAGATATTTGGATCAACTTTTAAGAGGGAAAAATGTGACTGAAAGCCAGAAACACAGTTGTAGGAGCAGCTGTAAGGACAAACTTTTCCATATACACCCCCCTACTCCCACCCCACTATTTTTTAAAAGAGAAATAACATTAAAAAATTGTAATAGTAACACACATGAATGCATTCTTGTTTTTTTGCAATTTCAAGCACTTTAGAAATGGGTAGAGCTAAAAATGGAAGTTTTTCTTCATCCTCCTCTCCCACTGACATTTTCACTCTTAAGGATAGCTTTCTCTAACCATCTAGAATGCACATATTTTATAAATAATAAAACATATAGCTTTACTTATTATGTAGATAATCAAGTATATTCATTTTTGGTTCTATAAAAAATAATACTAATTTTGCCTGCATCTTTTAAAGGGACCAATTTGCCTTGTAGATCTTTCCATATCAGTACCTAAGGTGTTTACTCCATTTTATTTTAATATTATTTCCAACTGGTCTGGTATCAGGCTACTTGGGTCTGAAACCTGGCTGTGCCCCTTACAACTTTGACTCTGAGCAAGTTTCTCATCCTCTCTTGCCTCCGTAGTTCCATCTGTAATGGGGCAATAGTTATACTCACCTCACAGGGCTGTGATAAGACAAACTGAGTTTACATATGTGAAGCACTTCAGAAATTTCTTGGCGTTTGTAATTACTAGATAAATATTGATTTTTGTTATTGTTGAATTATGATTTATTGTCTTTTAATGGACATTTACATTTTTACCACGTTTTCAGAAAATTATTTCAAAAAACACCTTACATATAAAGATAGATACTTTGAATGGATTGCTAAGAGAACTGTGCGTAAGTTTTAAATGTTGATAGATTACTTTGCATAAATGCTTTATTACTTTATTTGTTTATTACTTTACACTCCCACCAACAGTATATGAGGGTATTCTTT